AAAATTTAAATTTGACCTTTCATGATTTTGATCCACCTAATTGACGACTAGAACAAGAGTACATGCACTACTCAGGGTTTCTCTTCTTCTTTTTATTGGGGAGTAAGTATTATATATTCCCTCTCTTTAGTCTTTACGTGTGAGAAGAGCTAGCTGGTGCCAACCATTATGGCTTGTACGTACGTACTGCTTAAACATTATTTAAACTTAATCACAATGCTTATCCTTTGAATAGAGACTAATAAACAAGAATTTGTTACTATTTCTCTAGCTGCTTAATTGTCTATGAATTGACTTCTTTTACATCAGCTGCAATTTTCGTATTGAATAAATATACTTTAGTTTTAAAAAAGAAAAATTAAAACGCTTTTTAAGTCGGTGGCTGATCCCAATATGATTGGTTGGTACCTCTATTCAAAAACTGGTTTTTGTCATGTATTCTCACTTCCTCCTTATCTCTGTCCTTATATTATTATCTTCTACTTATTTGTTTGCATTATAAAAATTTCGAATTTAATATAAGTAATGATATAGCTCTTCAACTTCACATGTAGGAAACCAGCAACTCAGGCAGAGTTTACTCAACCAAGAGAAAAGAAGAAAATAAGAATCTTGTACATTTCGTATGCATATATCAAAACTTTAAAGAACAGGACAAAGAAAGAAAGAAAGAAAAAACTGTAGTAATACAATCAATTGTAGTACTAATGTATTACTTATATAGTAAATTTTCCTAGTATACATCTGTGATTTCCATGTACAATATATAAAGATAAAAAGAAAAGCTAGAAGAACAAACGTATATCAAACTAGCTACTAGCTAGCTACAAAACCTTTGGAATTTGGAGACATATAAAGATGAATGAAAGAAGGTAACATTAATTGTGCATAGCGGCATCGGGTCTAGCGATCAATGAAAGTGTATGAACATTATAGAAAGACCAGTGCTAAAATCCCAACAAATACAAAAAAATATTAGGCGATTGCTTTCCAGACTTACCGGATACATGTGCTCAGTCGAGGTGCAGACAAGATGACTAGAAAATACTGTTATAACAAAAATTAATTGTGAAGAGGGTTTGGTCCCCCGGGAACGGTTCGATGTGAAACTCTATAGCTTTGATCAATAATTTCTTTTCTTGATGTTTTAGGAGCTGGTGCAGAGATATGCCAATAAAATCTTGAATCTAACTTTGTGTTGAATCTTTGCTCTGTGCTTGTTGGGGTGATTTCTTGGATTTTTCTACAGCTTGATAATTGACTAACATATAGCATCACAATAATTAGCAGAAATGGAAAAGCAGAGCAGTGAACTCTCATAACTATAAAATAGGAAGAAGAAGAAAAGAAGAAGAAGAAGAAGAAGAAGAAGAAGAAGAAAGAAATATTGGAAATGGACAGAGTAAAATTAGGCAGGTGGATTGGATTTTGAGCTTATTCACTTTTGTAGAACTGATGACTAGTCTCTATTAATATGTGTTAAAGAATCTGTGGTGCAGATAAGAACCAGAAAAACCTAACATTGTCTAGTACAAAAAGACATATATACCCTCAGTAGTTTTCCTTTTCGTTTGGCCATAAATTTTATTTTACTTTTTTTTTCTTCAGAAACGGTGTTTAGCAATGAAAATTTCAAACTTCACTTGAAATTAAATTTTCAAATTTGTAAAACTTCAAAAAGTTATTTTTAAAATTTTTTACTTCAGATCACTCAAAAATAATTCCAAATTATATTAATATCCAAATACAACTCTAATTTTCAAATTCACTTAAATTTCTCAATTTTTATGTCCAAACGCCTACTTAAATAGTTTAAATAAAGTCCAGTGTATATGTAAATACATTTGTTCAAAATGGTGAAATTAGTGAAAAGGGAATCATAAAAATCAAAGGGTGTCCATTTAACTTTGATGATAAACTAGGAAAGGATTTGGAAACAAATACTTGCAAATGCAAATTTAAGTTTTTAAATTAAATATTATATATATAATGTAATGTTCGATGAAATGGGTTCACATGAATCCCTTCCACCCCTCTAACTTCGTCTTGGTAATGTTTAAAGGCTAAAATAATCATTTTAGGTAGATGTAATAGCAGTGTGAATAAAGATGTTGCTTGGATGTAATGAAGAGTTGACAAGAATTTCATTTGCCCATTCATTAAATAGTGAAAATAAACGGTGTTATATTTTTTTAATTGTTGGTTGGACTTTAAGAGGTTTTCAGAGTCCCATCTTATAGGCACGTGGTGCAAGTGCAAAGCAGCAATTGTCTCATGTTCTTGCCGTCCTTCTAGCAATTTCAGACTTTTCTTTTTTATTTCCCTCATTTTTTATTTTTTGACGCCTAAATATAAATGAAAATGGACCCAAAAAACAAAATGCCATTCTAAGTTCCCATTCATGACTAACAAGAGGAAGGCGAAAAAAATTTATCTTATAGACATGATTTTATTTAATTGTAAGGTCACAATATATGATGTGCGGAGGCGTACATTATATGTTTAAACTTTGTTGCGAACCAAACTAAACATTTAAGTTGGGAGGTAAATAGAATAGTAATTAAGTTCATGCTTTTGGAGTTTCGAAATTATGCATTGACCTGAATCAAGCAAAAATCCATGAGAATTTTTTTTAATATCAAAAGTATGTTTTACTATGATATGAACAACATAGATTTTCTTAATACAGAAAGTAGATAAGAATAGATGTGAACATTTGGTTTTAAATTAATTCTATTTATTACGTACAGAACAGTTTAGTCTAAACTATTAATTTAAAGTTATTAGTAGATATTGTAGTAGCATTTAATTTGAAAGAACGAGACCGAATAGGATTTGTCAATGTCGTTTTCGCACGATATTGCGTGTTTAGGAAAATAGGAAATCCTTATGAAAAGATTATGGTTAGGTTTTTCTTTTTTGTCAATTTCCTAAATGTCGCGAAATTCAAAATATTTAAGTATATAAAATTTGCAAGAGGGCTTTGGTTTCTAACATGACGTAGGGCTTTGGGCTCCTTTGGACCTTGTCCATAACCAATTTATATATATATTTTTTCTTTTTTCCCTCTTTTATTTTGGAGAGGAATTTTAGAGCAACCGTTATAATATTTTTATATGACTTATAGGTCACCGATTCGAGTGAAGTCAGTCACACAAATAAGTAAAAGTTCAAATAATCAACAAATTGAATTCGCAATGTTCCATGCATCAAATTACCTTTTTGCCTTTTCTTTTAGTAATCAACTCATTAAAAGATGATTATTTAGATACACATAAATTCATTGAAGTGATAAATGATTTGAATCACTCAACAAACTCGTGCAAGGTTCCAATTGAAGTTCAAGGTGGAGCTTTAAAAAGGGAATGCATGGAAACAAAAACAATAGAATTTGACAAATAAATAGTCAAGTTCCCAAGTGAGACGTGGGAGACATTTTTTAGATTTTCAAACTATGAAATAACAAAAAAGATGAAAAAGAAAACTTAAGAGCTTCTTGTTCTTGACCAGGAAAATATTTTCCTTTCAAAATCCAATCTCCATATTTTCAATTGACAAAGAAACAATATTACTCAATTCTATCTGTTTATTTAATCAATTAATTGTTTGTTTGTATTTATTTACATTATTTATCGGGCGAAGTTTAAAAATAGCCATTATTGATAATTGAAAAATAGTCAAAGATTCAATTTTTTTTGAATTTAGTAAATTTTTAGAATTCATGATAGTGTTATAGATTTCAAAAATCAAGGTGGTATCATGCTTTTTTTACTTGTTTAAGTTCGAAATTCATGACACTGTCTTAGTATTTTCTCATTAAAAATGACTACTTTTCAATGAATACTGTCTTATACAAACTAGTCCAACAAGTGGCTAGCATGTACAATTTTTACTGCATGACAAATATAGGATACCTAGTGCTACTATAAGATTTTTTGACCCAGCAATAGAAGTTTTGAGAAAAAAGTCTCATATCAAAATTTTAAAATAAGTTGGGCAGGATTTTCCCCGGTCGTCAGAATTTTAAAGCACACTCAGAATTTCAACAATTTTGGTGATTGTCAGGATTTCGCCACAAATTTCAACGGATCACAAGAGTTTTATAACTGAAAATTGTGACGATCATCAGATTTTTTGGTGCTTCAAAATTCTGACGTTGAAAATTCTGGTGATTGTCGAAATTTCTAGTGCTTCAAAATTCTGACGAGCTTGCTTTAAAATTCTGATGCGAGACTGTTTTTTCAAAAAATTTCCTAACGAGATCAAAATATAAACAATAAGTGAAATGGCGCTAGACGGACAAAAGACACATTTTATCGTGAATTCCCATTAGACAGGCATATATTTACACAAACAAATCAATAGTTCAACTCACACCCTCTCAGAATTCATTTTCCCTTTACAAATATTTCCTTCAGCCTCTGTTTACTGTATTTATTTTCTCTACCAGTTTCTAATTTGTTTTCTGTTTATGACTATTTATTTATAACTTTATCGTAATCTTCTTATGTGAGCCATAGTTTTCTACATGGAAAGTTGACTTTTTTTAAATATCATCGTGACAAAAAGTATACTTGATTTGAACCATAACATAATAGAAGTGAACTATCTATATATATAGGCAATATCCAACCAGTTGAAATCAAATATCAATATACCGTCCATTTAATTGGTCCAACTAACTAGTTTTGAAGGTGATGTTACACACAAGAATTTTAAGATTGAAAAATTGCAGTACTTATTAAGAGAAGATTACTCGACTTACTATGAGATAACTTTTAAGTACATGCCAAATAGATTAATTTTGTGTTCCCTTTATGGTAACATCTAAGTTGTCAAATATTTCTCAATTTTGACCATCTTAGACTAAATAAATAATTATTTGGATGTCCATCAATAATTTCATGGAGTATATAATAACATTGGCGATGGATCAATACAAAATCAACTTCCAAAACAATGACCAAAGAAAGAAGATGAAATTCTTATTTGGTAACTTATAAATAAATAGATTTTATTGTAAATGCTATAAGTTTAAATAACATCGAGTACTTAAAAATAAAAACATAAGCTATTATTCTTCACCTGGTCCTCCATATGACACTAAATTCCCAGTTACAACCCCAGAGTTTGGATAATCAGTCACCCTATATAAGTTTGGACTGTTTGCATATAATTTCACTAAAAGTTCATCTAAAGACATAGTTTGATTTTTATCTGTCAAGAATGTACACTTCTTACAATATGCATCTTTTTTAAGGTCTCCAATAGGAAAATAGCCACTGCCCATTGGTGGTTCTGGAACTCCAGGAGGACTGTACACAACTCCTCCATATTCAGCACTTGTTGCAAATCCCTTTAAGCTAGTAAATATTTTTGCAGGCCAAAATCCAACTGCTGCTGTTCCAAAATAAAACCACCAATTTCCATTTGACATGTCCTGTATATAAAAAAGGAAACAGATAGATAAATAAGTTATGTGCGCTGACAGTGTAAAAAATATTTATACAATTAGGGCCACCTTACCCGAGCAATATACATCGGTACATCAAAAACAGGTCCACCATAAGAAGAACCTGGAAGTTGCCCATCTAAAGGTATTGCAGTGTTTATTTGTATAAAACCTGGACATTGAGTATTATAACAAGATAATTTTCCAGCCTGTGGTAGTAAGAAAAGAAATACTAAATAGGTCTACTATCAAACATATCGTAATTGATTAAACAGTATTGATCGTCATCAAAATGGAATACAATTAGTATTAACACGAAAGAAGTTAAGGAGATTACCGTAAAATATGTGTATAGTCGTGTATGAGTGTCCCCATAGACGGGTGGGTTCACCTTCAATTGAAAAAACATAAAGTTATTAGGTAATAGACGACTTTAAGAAATGGAATTATAACGCTTTGATTGGCATAGGCTGATGCAAGATTTAGAGTTAGTGAACTCGGCATTGCTGCAATCATTGGCTATATACATAACTCGAGTTGAAGACAGTGAACTAACAATTTGATTAGCATAGGCTGATGCAATATTTAAAGTTAGTGGATTCAGAGATAGTGCACGCAACCTTATATATACGTAAAATTATAATGGTTTGATTAGCATAGGTTGATGCAAGATTTAGAGTTAGTCAACTCGGAAATTGCAGACTTAGATACATAACTTGAGTTGAAGGCAGTGAATGTGATATCATAACAGTTAAATTAGCACAGTTCACAGTTGATGCAAGACTTAGAGTTAGTGGATTTCATTAGTGCAGTAAACTGGTATATATAACTCGAGCTGAAGACAGAGTATACGATACTGCACCCGCTGGAGATTATCTCAATCCACCTATGTTGATTAGTGTAGTAAAAGTCATGGATTGCTAATGAAGGGAAAAAGAACTTACAGTCCAGCCAACTTGTATGCTGTCATTCCCATTCTGAACTTTTATACGACCTCCGCTATGTTGATGCCCACTAAGATTTTGAGGATTATGCAAACTAATAATTGCTCCTGCTCCTGCCATTTTGTTTCTTGGACTGTATGGGATTTGTACAGATGCAAACTGAATGAAGCAATATCACAACATCAGATTGGTAAGTGTAGGTAAGGTTGCTAACTATGTAATATTAGTGAACTTAATAGCCAAAATTATAAGCAATCAGACAAGGCGAATCCATGAACTAGTGTTTTTTAGCTTGAATATGGATAATAAAAGAAGATAAACCTTGTAGCCTCCTCCAAACGGTTTGGTTCCCTCGGAAACAATACCCTGTATGGAAATAATGACACATTTTGTGAAGAAAAATATACAAAAGAGTTTTGAACTTTTGAAAATCAAAGAGTTGTAGAAATTCTTGCAGAAGACTCACATCACCATCAGGAGAATCATCTCCCCCTCTCATTTGCGATGTAAGTCTCCGTCTTATTAGGTCGTCTTTTGTAGTTCTTCTAATAGGAACTGTTCCAATAGGACAACCTCCGTCTTCTAACTCTATGTTAAAAGGTTTATTAATGTTTGAAGAAATGTCATCTCTTTGCGACATGGATAACATAGGTTTCATCTGCATCCAGAAGTAAGTGTTATGAGTTTCTATATACATATATATGTATGATATTTTCTTTCAAAAAGAAAAAAAATTGGATTGTATGAACTCGAAACTGTAGTGTATAGATATACCTGGGGATGAAAATTATGATTCTTCAACAGAGGATGGTCGATTGCAGGTTGTTTGTAAAAGTCTACACAATCATATAGTTCTCCATATTTGCCCTGCTAGTCAAATTGCAATCAGTCTCCAATCTTTATATATAAAAACATATCTCCCAAGACTTAAGAGGTTACAATTCAAACTGTAGTTTCACGAGTTTGAATCTCAGTGATCTTCGTATAGTAAGACAAATCTATGTTCACTCACAACAAGCGAAAGACATTATTTCATTTTTGTAACAAAAAATAATAACCAAGGACATGTAGAGTTTATAAAATCTGCATAAGACAAATAGAGATTGTACCTTAATAGTCTTGATTGCTGGCTTATTAAGAAGCTTTAGTTGCTTCTCTAACTCTAAGTCCTCTAGTTTAGACAACCCCTGTTCTGCTTCAACTTCATAATGGTTCAAAAGGAGAGAAATTGCAAGCAAAATCTGTACGATGGCTCTTTGATGCAACGACATTTTCTACGTATTCAAGAAAATCGTAAGTAATCTCTTGACACATTAAATATTACTCGTTTAAAACGAAGTATGTTTTGGAATAATGACCTTATATCAGAATGCTCAAAAGTTAGATACAACCAGAATAAAATCTCCAAGAATGTGATCTGACAAACTTTTGTTTCACTTTACAATTCATTTGATTTCAACCAAATATATCTATCATCGGTTATCAGCAAGTTATTATCAAATATAACATAGTTGTGTCACAAGAATTACCTGATTTGTTTTGACTCTGAACACAAATTACAGTGAAGTAAAAACACCAAACTAAAGGCATCTATTTATACTAATCAGATAGGGATAGGCTGGTTTATATGTTATATGTGACATATGTAGTTTGACTTAATACATAAGAGAGGTTTGACTGTATAAGTGATTGGATTACATCTAAAAAGGAAAAAGGTTCAAATTGCAGATCTCTAGTTTTCATCATAAAGGGAAACTCTCTAATGATTATTCTAATTCTGCTTGAATCAAATTTCAAATGAAAATTTTCTGCACATATTTCCCTCGTGTAAATGAATTTAGTACCTAATTTAGAAGATTACAACATGTGATATGGATAGAGTAAATCCATCATGTTCGTCTCTTTATCACAAGTGGTCTTTTCAATGTCAATACTCAATATCAACCAATCATATTATGAAAATAAGGGATTTGAACACGTGCTTCCTCGACAAGAGGTTTACATCCATTTATAGCGACAAGAGTCTGGCAGCTCTGGCCCTTCCCCGGACCCCGCGCATAGCGAGAACTTAGTACACCGGGCTGTCCTTTTTATAGGTAGAAAACCTGGACATTGAGTATTATAACAAGCTAATTTTCCGGCATGTGATCATAAGAAAAGAAATACTAAATAAGAACATTGATATGTCAATTTTTAAGCATTTCTTACTTGGACAATATTGTCATTATCAGCAGCATAGTATTAACATGAAAGAAGTTAAGGGAACTACCTTAAAATATGTGTATAGTCGTGTATGAGTGTCCCCATAGACATGTGGGTTCACCTTCAATCGAAAAAACATAAAAGTTATTAGGTAATAGATGACTTTAAGAAATGGAATTATAACGCTTTGATTAGCATAGGCTGATGCAAGATTTAGAGTTAGTGAACTCGGCGTTGCTGCAATCATAGGCTATATACATAACTCGAGTTGCAGTGAACTAACAATTTGATTAGCATAGGCTGATGCAAGATTTAGAGTTAGTGAACTCGGCGTTGCTGCAATCATAGGCTATATACATAACTCGAGTTGCAGTGAACTAACAATTTGATTAGCATAGGCTGATGCAATATTTTAAAGTTAGTGGATTCAGAGTTAGCGCGCACAACCTTATATATAACTGGAGTAGAAGGCAGTGCACGTAAAATTATAACTGTTTGATTAGCATAGGTTGATGCAAGATTTAGAGTTAATTAAATGTTACAATGTTGAGGATTAATTTTCATACAGAAGATACTTGATAATTTAGGTCTAGTTTCTAATTAGCAGTTTTAGCAATCATTTCAAATAACAGTCGAAAAACAATTTTCAGCACAGTTTCTCGATATTACTTCACATACAGTCCTTAACAATAAAATAAAATAAAAAAACCCTCACACACAGTCCATTATACTCCCCTCCAGCAACTATATCCACCTTTAATTTTATACTTCTCTATTTTATAACAGATAATCAGCCATTTCAGGTAGAATAAAAGGAAGACAAGATAGTTATGAGCTGCATCAATATTTCTTTAGTTTATTCTCCTCTTAACAGAAAAATATCACCAAATATGTGCTGCATTCACTGCTCAATAATAATGATACCCTCTCCACTTCCACTGATTGTTCATAAACATGAATTTTTATCTACAGAGTAATGCTATGTGTCTGTATCCATTTATACGTATCACCACTACACATAAAGAGACTATATATAGGAATCAGTAACTCCAGCAAACAGAAGGGTAGCAGGTAGTTTTTTATGATCTTTACTGGGTTGTTTAGGGCTAGTCTGGTAGTATCTTGTCGTTGTTCCTAGATTGCTAGTATTACGGCTATCTCTTACTATTTTCCGCTTCAGCTTTCTTGTATCATGTCGTGATTACTGCTTGTTGCTATTGTTAGTGTTATTGCTTTTCTCCATCTATTTTTTTTCTAGTTCTTACGTCGTTGTTATCATTTTTCTGGCTATGTTGTTGATATTTGATTGTTTCTATTCATCCTCTCAAGTTGAGGGTCTTTCGGAAACAACCTCTCTACTTACTCAGGGTAGAGATAAGGTCTGCGTACACACTACCCTCCCCAGACCCCACTTGTGGGATTCCACTGGGTTTGTTATTGTTGTTGTTCTTTCCCATCAAATTAATGGTCTATTCCAACTTATGTCTTGCATGTAAATTTAGTCTGGACAGTGTTATTTTTTTTTGGATAACGCTGGTGCCATTTTGTTGAAATTACTTTTAAGTTTCTTATATTTGAATATAATATCTATCACATGGTGGCCTCAAATTAAAGTTCCAAATTTGTGGCTGATACCTTAACATATGTTCATTCAATTAGCGTAGGATTCCGTCTATCTCTTCCATCTTTATCTAAGCACCAGCAACATGACAATGTAACTTGAAATATGCAAGATAATTAAAGAACAAATCTAAAAACAATAATGATTTCATCACCTCAAACTATAACAGACAAGTTCTAACACAAACTAATATTTTCAGATAGGAAAATTAGTACTGTAGGCAGATTCAAGAATTAAGGAAAAGAATCAGATTAAATATGGCCAGACAGAAACACAAAAACAAACAAAGCCAAACAGTAGAAAACCAATTGCAACACCTCTAACTATCATTTCTTTCTCCTTTTCAATATACAGAATGTGATAAGTCCTTGATAAAATTACACACCTGACTGCATGTCTGATTTTTTGGGAGGCTAGATTCAGCCTATCTGTGAGTTCTTCTTGTGTAGTGGATTTTTGGAATCCAAAATTGGTGGTGCACTCGGTCTGTCCACTGGAACTCCTGTCCTTGCACCAGTTGATGATTGCCCTACCAAAGGATCGGAGCAAATGATGGTCGTCCTCGACCAGGATGTACAAAGGCTTGACGATTAGATACAGCTATTCCTGGATAAGCAGTGGAGACAGGAATTGGAGGTGACGGAAACATCATTGGCGGGACACAAAACCCTGCTTCCATAGACAGTATCTGCAAAAAATGGGATGAGGCAGTTAGCAATAGTAGGTATGACTCTAATTCTCAGTTCTTAAAGAACGCAAATTGCACAACAGCATAGAAAGGTGACAACCATCATCTAACCTGAAGGTACTTGCAGTTGAAGTGTCTTCAAATATTCAATAGCTTCATCAAGCATTGAAGTTTATCCGCCTAGCAATCAATAAGGAAAGCCATCAAAATGATTCAAAATGAGAAACTACAGGAGAAGGAGTTAGGATACAATAAGGTTGGGTGATGGCTAATTTTAAGAATACCAGCAACACTTCATCAAAACCGTGTCAGTTTCAAAGCAACTAGAAATATATGAGTGAAATATCAGCACAATCTTATTCTAGCTTATGCATTGAGCTCAAATAAATTACTGGTATTTTCTGAGTTTTTAATTAACTTGAAGTTGATTGCTCGATGAGATATGGTAGAAAAACAAAAAACTTCTTTATAGAGAAAGGTGATTGTATTATAAAGCTAGCACTAAGTGTGTGTTGTAGTTCGATATCTCCAATACATAGCTCTACACAAAAATAATATCTGATAATTATCTATCGGGAACATATATAAATAATATATATCCGTCTAACAATTTCTCTTGGGGGTTTACATATACTCATAATTGTTGTTATAATTAAAATTGAGAAGGATTTTTTGATTGAAAAAATCCATATTTATTAGTTATATATCAAGTTGTATTTTCTTATGTCATTAGGAAAACAAAATTTGGAGATTCAAATCCAAGAATCATTCATGCATTCTAAGTCAATAGTGAAGAAGTGCAGTATGAGTACACCACGGTCGATACCCAGTAAGTATCAAGACTACCATCATTGGAGTAGAGACGAGGTACAATCAAGACATTCACTAGTCTAATAGCATGTGTAATATAATATACAAGATAGTAGGAAACAGATAACAATAAGGATATCATAAAACAACCAGTGATATGCACAGCAAAACAACAAAATATAACTTAATATCAAGTACACCCAATTATATCAAATTCTTCAAATAAATGTCCTTCACATATAATTCTACCAAATAACTCTCTTTCAAATATAATTTTCCTCAAATAAATATCTTTCAAATATAATTCTTTCATATAATACTTTCTAAATAAAAATCCTTCCAAATAAATATTTTGAATATAATTCTTCAATTAAAAAGTCACCATGTGACACCTCATTTCATAATCATAAAAATACGGGTCTCAACCCATTTTTATATTTTTCGTAAACACTGGTCTCAGCCCATTTTTTATATTTCTACGGCACTTCGTGCCTATAATTAAATCATCATATTTTCTCGGCACCACGTGCCCTCATTTCATATCACAACTGCACAGACAATTCACATGCCAATATCCTCAATATATATAAGATCCACATGATCAATTTATTTCCACTAAAGTGAGTTTAGAATTTTTAAATCAAGTAAGAAATTAACAAAGAATTGAATTTATTTTTTTAAAATCATTTGGGTGAAGAAAATAACATTGCACTTATATCAAAGCATCAGATAAACTAATGGTTTGGTTGTAAAACTATTTAATTTAAAATATAATAATAATTTCTTTTATTTAAATCAACTCAATCATCGAAAATCAGTAAGAACAACCAGAAATATACTTCTTCAGAGTCTCGTGCTAAAAAGCCAAAACCAACACAATACAACTAGGAGCACAAAACATATAATAATAAAGTCAACTAGTACATCACGGAAGAAGACAAGAATTTACA